TACTACAAAGCTTGCACATAGTACTTCCCAGTACTACTTTGTACTGCACAGCTTGCACAAACCACTTTCCTTTCGCACAGTGCTTTTACACATGGCAAGCGATTACACACACAGCAAGTGTTGACACACAGAACACCTACACACAGTGCTTTTACACATGGCAAGCGTTTACACACACAGCACGCTTGGGAAACAGAGAAGCTTTTACACACAGAGAAGCTTTCTACACACCGCAAGCTTCTACACACCGCAAGCTTCTACACAGAAAATATTTTACACGCAGCAAGCAACCACACAGTTCAAGCGTTTACACACAGCACTTACACACAGTGCTTTTGCACATGGCAAGCCTTTACACACACAGCAAGTTGTTTAAACAGAGAAGCTTTTACACACAGAGAAGCTTTTAAACACCGCAAGCTTTTACACACCGCAAGCTTTTACACAAAGAAAATCTTTTACACACAGCAAGCAACCACACACAGCAAGCGTTTACACACAGCACTTACACACAGTGCTTTTACACATGGCAAGCCTTTACACGCACAGCAAGCGTTTACACACAGAACACTTACACTCAGTGCTTTTACACACGGCACGCGTTTACACACACACACAGCAAGCTTTTTAAACAGAGAAGCTTTTACACACCGCAAGCTTTTACACAGAAAATCTTGTACACACAGCAAGCAACCACACACAGCAAGCGTTTACACACAGCACTTACACACAGTGCTTTTACACATGGCAAGCGATTACACACACAGCAAGTGTTTACACACAGAACACTTACACACAGTGCTTTTACACGCCGCACGCTTTTACACACCGCAAGCCTTTACACCGAAAATCTTTTTCACACAGCAAGCAACCACACACAGCAACCGTTTACACACAGGACACTTACACACAATGCTTTTACACATGGCAAGCGTTTACACACACAGAAACTTTTACACAGAGACAGTTTTACACACAGAGAAGCTTTTACACACAGCAAGCTTTTACACACAAAATCTTTTACACACAGCAAGCAACCACACACAGCAAGCAACCACACACAGCAAGCGTTTACACACAGAACACTTACACACAATGCTTTTACACATGGCAAGCGTTTACACACACACAAACTTTTACACACAGGAATTCCAGCTCCAGAACCGGATCTCGGCGCCAAAGCGAAAAAAGGATGATTTTGAAACACTTTTTAAAAGGGTTTTTAAAAGGAAAATTATTAGCGTCAAAATTGCGAAGATCTGCTGACAAATCACTTTCGCAGCCTTGATGCAGCCACTCCAATACGATTTACGATGTTCAGCTGCAAAAGACAATAGTATTACACATGCAGCCGCGGCACCAAGCAACCTTAACGCAGCCATTCCAATGCGATCTGCAACCACAGCTTCAAGAAACGCATAGAACTACGCACACAGGAACAACCATTCGTTGCAGAACACAGAGGAGGAACCAATCGCGTCCGGAACGACCGCAGCCGCAACTGCCGCACACACGAGGTACATTTCATCGGCGGCCGCAGCCACTTTACACGGAAAAATGCAAGGTTTCGTGCTCCAGCTTCCTCCCCAAAACAAAGTCCATGCAACTTTGACGCAGCTATTCCAATGCGATCTGCGACCACAGCTTCAAGAAACGCATAGAACTACGCACACAGGAACAACCATTCGTTGCAGAACACAGAGGAGGAACCAATCGCGCCCGGAACGACCGCAGCCGCAACCGCCGCACACACGAGGTACATTTCATCGCCGGCTGCAGCCACTTTACACAGAAAAATGCAAGGTTTCATGCTCCAGCTTCCTCCCCAAAACAAAGTCCACGCAACTTTGACGCAGCCATTCCAATGCGATCTGCAACCATAGCTTCAAGAAACGCATACAACTACGCATCCCATTGGAGAGGCTATACCACGGCCCAAGCTGTGGCACTGTACAGACGCAAGTGAGAATCAGCGGCACCAGGGGCACCGTGCGCCGCCAGCTGCCCTTGCAAGCTGGAAGGCTGGGTCCACCCAGGCGAGGCAAAGAATGGCTAAGCCAATACTTACCAGGCCGATGCCAAAAGGAAAGTAAAAACAAGTGGGCACGAGCAAAAACGCCAGATGCCAAAAATCAAGCACCTCCCGGTAGAGGAGTATGAGTCTGAAATTGCACCAGCCGGGACTGCACAGGAAAACTAGGCACCAGGCAAAACGAAAGCATCGTGCACAAATGCTGCCAAGCACTAAAGGCAAGGCGGCCACAAGAAACCGGGCCCAGCTCACTCATCCAGGACATCAGGAAGGCTTCAGGAGCGCAAAACCACAGCCGCCGCCGAAGCAGCATGGGAAGGGGCTTCTGCCACAGCGGCGTCAGCACGGCGCTGCAGGGCAGCCCTTCCACGATAGCTGCGGATCAGAACCGAAGTTTCTTGCAGCAGCTCAGCAAAGAGAGCCGCAGGCTCGGCCTGTTCCCGCGCAGCAACTGCACGCACGGGCTATGCACTTTAAGACCCGGGCCGCCGCATGGTCCCAAGCACCGGTCGTCTCAGCCACAAGTGGGACAAAGGTGAGACCTTGCCCTCGACAAATCGAAGCAGTGTCCAAGTGGGCCATTCTGACAGTTGCATAAGCAGCAGCCGCAGCGCCTCCTTGCCGCCCAGCCTCTGCTAAGCTAGCCTGCCGCTGAAAGCCTGTCACGGCCAAGTCAAATGCAGTAGGCTTGCCAGAGAAGCAAGGTGCAAAGATGTCTGCGGGTCGTCTGCGTGCAACCCCAGTCTCTTCTGGGCGCTGTGGGAGAAGGAGACCAAGTTTCTCCTTTTCTGGGTGAAGCCCGGCTCGGTCCGCCCAAGTGCAGAGCAAGTCCCGGAGCGCGTTGTGCCGCTGGTTGCGCTCGCCCCCAGCTATGCAGACCCCGGCATGCAGAGAGAAGGTGTCTAGAACACTGTCGCAGCGGGGGCACCATCCATCACTTGAGCGGTTGCCGAAACCCCGTTACCTTGTGTTCTATTCTATCTTCCCTTTCGCCATCTCTTTCGCGAACCTTTCGCGATGCAGGGTTTTTCTTTCGCGGCATCCATGTGTCTGAAATTCACTTTCGCGAGCTTTCGCGGAAAACATGTGACACAAACTCCCCGTTTTCCGCAGTGAAGTGCGCATTGAAACCTTTAATTCCAAGCACAACGGGCATCGTTTTGCAGCAGTTATCACTGTGGCAACATGTGGATTGATATTGCATCTGGTGGCCTCCTCCTCCTTCACCTCCTCGTCCTCCACCCCACCCTCAAACGCGAGCTCCAGATCTCAGTGGGCACTGCCGGACCTCAACCGCGAGCGCCAGATTTCAGTGGGCACTGCCGGGCCCCAACTGCGACCGCGGATCTCAGTGGGCACAGCCAGACACCACAAGCGCCAGATCTCAGTGGGCACTGCCACTCCCCTATCAAATGGGGGGGGGCCGTCCCAGCTAGGCAGGGCTTTCGCGGATCTTTCGCGAAGCTTTCGCGGATTTCGGGTCACATCTATCGAAATTTGTGAATAATGTATCCGTATGGATCCAGATACATCTGAGGAAGCTGTCTACAAACATACTTAAAACCAGGATTTTGAGTCTTGAAAGTCTCTTTCGCGAGCTTTCGCGGAAGGAGATCTTCGCAAAAGCTTTCGCGGATCTTTCGCGAACGTGGTTTTAGCTTTCGCGGAGCCATCTTACTTTACACGCCCTTTAAATCTCCACTTGGAGGTTTTGGCGGCTGCTCACTTGAAGCTTCGGCCACCCCAAGCCGGTGGCGCAATTCCGCGGTAAACACGGCAGGTTCCATGCGCTTTGGTCCAGCCGGCACCGCAGCCAGGAACGCACGGCCACCTGGCTCGGCTTCAGAAAGAAGCATAGCTTTACGGGTGAGGCAGCTTCCAGCTGCAACTTCCAAGCCTGCATGTCAGCTTGAGCAACCAAAGTCCGCTGTCGAGATGCCAAAGCCATTTCCATGCTCACAGCCCCGCCAGCTGTTTGATTGTAGGCCGCCAATGCACCAACCACATGAGGTGACAGAGAAGGCGGTCCGAAGCTGGTATCCAGCTGCTGGCATTGCGGGGCGCACCCACCGACTGAAGCCAGGTAAGCGGCAGAGGCGTCCGATGAGGTCGAGCGCAAGTTCAAGCCAGCCTGCGCAAGGCCCCGGGTCACTTGCTCCCATTGGATCTGCACCAAATGCAGGCCCGTGAAGCTGCTGAAGCAGTCCCGCACCAGGGAGTCAAAATGCTCCAGGGCGGCTTGTTGGGCCAAGGGCGGGTTGCATCGCATGCTGTGGAGAAGCCGGGAGTGGCCCGCGCTAGCACGGAGGAGACGGAGAGCCACCTGGGGATCTTCGAGCTCAGCTATGGCTTCGAGGAGGGCTGTTGTTTTGGCCACCCGTGTGGCCGTGTGGTGAGGCACGAAGGCATCACTGCCGATGGCAGCTTCCAGGAACTCGAAGTTGCGGAGGACTCGGTCAACACCACTGTCACCCCAAAGCAAGGCAGCGGGTAAAGCTGTGGAAAGGTCTGCAGCAGTCACGTTGCCAGGCACCACCACCTCGCACTTGGAGAGGTTGAGGCCTAAGCCGACGGCAGCTGCCCTTTGCTGCACGTGAGCCAAAGCCGCGCCCACCGCAGGAAGATCACCAGCCACGACTCCATCATCAAGGTAGAACATGGCGAGGTCCAAGGGCCCGTTGCGGAGTTCAGCCGCCATCGGCTGCAAAGCGGCTGCAAACAGCAGTGGGCCAAGGGGATCACCCTGCTGGACCCCTGCCGCCGAGTGAAGGGCAGTGGAGCCAAACTGCAAAGTAGTGCACCCACCATAACACCATTGCACCCATCGAGCCAGAGCCGGAAATTGGGCGCAAGTGGCGCTGAGCACCTCTTGGCGGGACACTGTGTTGAAAGCGTTTTGGAAGTCCAGCTTGACCAACACTTTGTTGACAGCCCCTGCATGGCGCTCATGCCATGCACGAGCGCAGTGAACAACTGCCTCAGAGCCGGCAGGCACAGCCACCCCGACCTGTGCTGGGAAGAAGGTTCTCCGAGCATCCTCCCGCACAAGCTCCAGCAAGCACTTGCCGGTCAGCCGCCGCAAAACCTCCCCAATGGCAATGGGGCGGACGCCACCCTGTGGCTTGGGGATGGCAACCAAGTTGGCACCAGCCAAAAGCGGAGCAGCATCACTGCAAGTACGGCCAGACGCCAGCAACGTCACCACACCAGCCAGCTGCACAAGGAGCCCGTCTCGCCCACCTGGCCAACAAGCCTCCCGCAGGTGCTGCACCCGAAGGCCAGAAGGACCAGGGGCCGTGGCTGAAGGAAAGCTTTGCAATGCCTTGGCCACCGCATCAGGCATCAGTTCAGGGCTAGGCGGCAGCTCGTGCAATGGTGGGGCCACAGGGTCCGGCTGGACTGGGTGCAAGGCCCGCAGGGCAGCCACGGTTGCAGCAGTTTCGGGCGCTAAGCCGTCAGCCAGGAGTGCCGCACAAGCTCGCTGGTGGCAAGGTCCTTCTTCTCAGGGGTGGTGAGGGAGCGGTGCTTCGAAGAAGTCCGACCACGGCTCTCCCAAAGCAGAATGCGATCACCGTCTTCCCAGCGGCGCAGCCGATCCAAGGTGTAGGCGGCGGCTGCCTTAGCATGTTTCCGGCCACCTCTCGGAGGAGCGTTGAGCACGCATTGCGGCAAGAGGAGCAACTCCTGCCAGCTGCAAAGGTCATTGTAGCGCACCACCGCGGCCAAAGCTTTTGTCAGAACTTTGCACCACAGAGATCGGGCTGCTGCGGGAACATGCCGGAGGGTTGGCGTGCGCCCGGCCTAGATTTCAGCAATGGAAGGCAGGGCCTGTAAGGGGTCATCCCGGCGCACTGCACCATCTTGGCCGGCAGCAGCCCGTGCCTGTGGGCGACACGTTGGGTGCACGCCACGGCGGGTGGACACACTCAATCCACACACCTGGCATCGCTGGCGGCCCTGGGCTCGGAACCACGCATCAGGGACGTCCCCTTGAAGGCCCCCTGCCAAGTGCGCATCTATGTGCGCTTGCATGGTAGTGGCAGATGCCCAGCCACGTGCTCGCAGAGGGTCAGCGCAAGGGCAGCCAGCAACCGGGCAAAACACCCTGGAGGCCCCCTCGCCAGAGTCGATCTCCATGCCACCAGCTGCGACTGCCCCTCGTCGTGGGGATCGTGGGGCCCGCTCGCCCCCCACCGGAGTGCCAGGAGATGGCGCCATCAGGGCAGGTAGGGGGAGCCCCCCGACCTGCAGATGCGGGAAGGGGCCAAGCCCCTACCGCCTGAGGTAGGACAGCCAGGTAAGGAGGCCCCCCCTCAACGGCACACACGGGTCGATGAGCTATGACTCCTGATCCTTGAGCCAACTACGCACACAGGAACAACCACTCGTTGCAGAACACAGAGGTGGAACCAATCGCGTCCGGAACGACCGCAGCCGCAACTGCCGCACACACGAGGTACCTTTCATCGCCGGCTGCAGCCACTTTACACGGAAAAATGCCAGGTTTCGTGTTCCGGCTTCCTCCCCAAAACAAAGCCCATGCAACATTCATTCATCCTCACCACTTCCCTTCGTCATCACTCCCCTTCGTCACCACTTCCCTTCATCACCACTTCCCTTCGTCACATCACCACTTCCCTTCGTCACCACTTCCCATCGTCACCACTTCCCTTCCTCACCACTTCCCTTCGTCACCACCCTATGTCATAGCTTCTTATTATTTTGTTATATATGTATTGTTATGTTATGTATTGTTATGTGATCTACCACCCTTCATCAAGGTCAACTGCATAGCTTCTTATTCTTTTGTTATGTATTGTTATGTTATGTATTGTTTTGTGATCTACCACCCTTCATCAAGGTCAATTACATAGCTTCTTATTCTTTTGTTATGTATTGTTATGTTACAGTATGTATTGGTATATGATGTACCACCCTTCATCAAGGTCAATTCCATCAGGTAAAAGTCATTCGTAACTCGGAAGTATTGCTTCCCAACTTCCTTTGATAAATTGTAAACAAAGACCAGCAGCCTGAACAACCAGCTAGGAAACAACCAGCTAAGATTGACTAACTAGTCAGTCTTCCCCCTTTTCAGCCAACTCCAAATGACCAAAGCCTGTAGTATCTGTAGCGACCAAAGCTGAAGTCATTGTAATGACATTGTAATGACATTGTAATGACATTGTAATGATGACATTGTAATGACATGATAAAATGGCACATATGCCATATGTCAGTGTTCTGTCTGATTGTGTCCTGCTGGTCCTGTTGTAATGCGTCACCATGTCACAACGTGTCACTTACAACGTGTCACAACGCCTGGGGTCAACACCCGGGTGATTTCTTCACCGGTCCTCGGATGCAATCGCTCTGCATCTGCACTGCGTCCACAACACCCGAATAGCTTATGCCATAAGCTTTGCCATAGCTGCCATAGCTGCCTGCCAAGTTTCATGGAGTCTTTGTCAATAAATTTGAAATCCAAATTCTCGTCAAAGTGGTTCTTCCACACGGCACCCTTCTTGATCACCTCAAGCTTTGGGAACAGCTTCACACAGTGTCGCACAGCTTCACGGCTTCGCAGCTTGGCTCGATGCATTCTTTGGGATCTTACCCTTGAGGTCCATGATCCGCTTCAGCATGTCCTGAGCCGAAACATGAAAAAACACCATGAAACATGTCCTTATCCTCTACTTAGACTCTCAGACTCTCAGACTCTCAGACTCTCAGACTCTCAGACTCTCAGACTCGACTCTGCTGTGCGAAATCCATTGGTTTTCTGTCGACGTTATTTTGACTTTTGGGACCCGGCATTGTTTGTCTTTCCCTGCCACAGATATAACAAGAGTCCATCCGACTCAGGACATCTGTTTGCTGCAAAGCTGGCAGCAAACAAACGGAACTCAAGAACAGCATCAACAGATGCAACGTACAAAGCCCAAAAGCTACACATTCAGAAATCAAAATAGACATCAAAACAGCACAAAGATATACTAAATTAACACTGTGTTATATATATATAATTATATACAATATTGCAATATTATACAATATAGTTTGCACCTAGATGAACCAAATGCAACACACAAAGCCAAGACCTGCTGACTCGCCTGCAGCAGGGTCTTCCCTGTGAAAATCTCGTAGAGGGTGCAAGCGAGAGCCCAGACATCTACAGGCACCCCGTACCTTTCGTGGCCAAGCGCGAACACCGTGTGAACACCGTGTGAAGACATGTGAAGATGTTCGTGTCTGCAAGTGTCTGCCTTACAATGCTCAACGCACGGCGCACTCACAACCGAGAATGACCTCTGCAGGTCTGTAGAACCGACTCATCAAATACCTTGGCCGAGATGTTGGAGAGGAAAACATGGAAAACAGATGTGAGATATTGTGAGCCGATGTTGGAGATGGGAGAGTTTCTCTGCCAGGCATTGCATACGGGTGCCGAACCCAGACCGTTTTGCAAAAACATCTCTTCTTGTCTCTGACATGTTGCTCACATCTCACATCTCAATGTCTTCTTGCCTCTCACAATTCTCACATTCTCTCACCACCTTCCTGCAGTTCATTGCTCCGACAGCTGAGACACGGGGAGACGCTGATGTCTTTCTGTTCAATGGCAGTGCCGAAATCACAAAGCTTTACCTGAGATACTGAGATAAGAGAGAGCAAATTAAAAGTCGTTCCAAGACTGATCTTGCAAATGAAAACCAGCACGGGTCAGCCAGAGAAGTCGATGGCAAATTTATTCAGGAAAGGAAACATGAAAGCCATTGAAAGCCGCACGAGTGAGCTGAAACACTTCAGTTGACAAGGCAGTTCTGCAACGTCTGCTGTTTCATTGTAGGTCATCTGGAGCGTTTAGGTCAATCGACATGGATAACATCATGGGACATCCACTGTCATGACAGATTTCACTCTGGGAACTCTGGCAACATTGTTGTCCTGACATGTCACACTTGGAATGAGCCTCCATCATACACATTGAAGCACTGCAGTGTTTTTGATTGTTTTGTAATGTTTTGTATATCTGTCATATCTGTCATATCTGTCATTTCATGTCGTTTTTTGCGCGTCCTGACTAATGAGGATATTGTCTGGCTTCAAGTCAGCGTGGATAATGCTGAACTTGTGCATGTGCCTCACCTCGGAACTGGATGACTGACTATGACTGACTATGACTCCGCCAGGGGCTTCGATCTTTGGCCAACTTTGGCCACCAGACTCCGATCAAAAGCTGCTTGGTGTATGCCCGCACCTCAGCACAGGAAAAACAAAAGCACTCTGGAAAATTCTGGAAATACCAAAGGAACATCCTTGGAACTGTCTCATATGTCTCTGATTTCGAGAGTGTTCTCCTATGGATTCAGAATTGCTGGTGGACGTGCTACCCATAAAACAATCATCAACATCAAAGATTTGTACAGCTTGAGAACGGATGTAAAAAGGCTCTGTAATGATGGTACTTCTGCTCTTGTACAGCGAGCTGTCAGCTTTGCAGAGATCATGCTGGTGTTCAATTTCACATCTGGGCTCCCTGCAGCTGGAAGGGACATCCCACGATTCTTGGTGTACCTCACGCCATGTCACGGCATGTCACACGGCAAGTGAATCGTCTCTGCTCGTGTGCGAGAGCAGCAACCTGTGCCGCGCGCTTCTTCAAAGCTCCGCGGAGATCTTCAGCCTGAAAACACCGAAGAACGAAGAACTTTCGAAGAACTTCCCGGCTCGAAAGCGTTGCTTTCAGCTTCAGAGAAGGCTTAAAAACGATGGAAAAAAACGATGAAGTCTCAATGCGTCGAACTGTTCACTGCTATGCCTCGGCTATGCCTCGGCTATGCCTTGAACCTACCCCCTCGCCCTGAGAAAGATCTCACAGCAAAACCTCGATGAAAAAAACTACGATGGCAATGGCCAAAAGGCGTAATGTTGTAGCGACGCTAGATGGCATCTTTTCAAAACTGTGCAAACAAAAAATTAAGGCGGCATTAAGGAAACAAAACAAGACCACACCTGTCCCAAGTTACAAGCCTTCCAAAACGCACTTTTGTAGACAGGTGCACGATGGTGCACGGTTTCATTTTCCCGTGTCCCAGAAGGGGCGGCAGAGACAATCAGTGTATCCGCTCCCACACCAACCTCTCAGTACTGCTCATGCTACTCAAATACGACCGCAGCAGCAACGACAGAAAATGATATCAATGTGACAATGTGTTTGATGTAGATGTTCGGTGATGTAGATGTTGCATGATGTTGCCAAAAACTTGACAAGCACCATGAGCAAATAATCGACCCCATGCCACACACCATCAACAACAAAAAACACAACACAGTTATCACAGTTCAAGTTTCATCAGAGAAAACGGCAAAGACTTGTGATGTACAGTGCTAAAATTCACCAATGAAGGGTACAAAAATGGAACTTGCTACAAGACCAACCGCTGTTTGACAGGGATATTCTTGACATCGCATTGTTTTTGAAGTTGAAAACCGAACCACGACAACCCTGAACAGGTGCAGCATTAAGCACTGCCAAAGGCGCGTCCATTCCAGAAAAGGAGTGAAGCAGCGACTCTAAATCACACTAATGGAGACACGAGACAACATTCTCGAGAAGCATCCATAAGCATCCATAAGCATCCATAAGCATCGATAAGCATCGATAAGCAGGCATCCAGAATATCCAGATATGTACAATTCGCATGTTTCAGAGCGTTTCAGCATATCATGTTGGAGTTCTGAGCAATGGGACTTATCAAAATTCAAGCTTGGAGAACCCAGCGCGATGTATCACCGTCCCCGTTCATGATTGGCAACTTCCAAATAAGATGCTAAGAAAGGGATGATTCTGCCCCCGGACTTCAATTTTGCCATGTAACACATTGTAACACATTGTAACACATTGTAACACATTGTAACACATTGTAACACATTGCCACACATTGTCACACATTGTCACACATTGTAACACTAGTTTAAGTTGTTCAAACTTGTCAAACATCTGAGTCAATGAAGTCTTCAAGTTGTTGTGCTCAGGTTTCACTGTGCCCAAGGCCATGCACTCGAAGACCATGAAAATATGCTTTCCTTGGCGCGGTTTCTCAGTGACAATGTTTGCAAATTCATGGCTGCAACTCAACATGTTCTTCAATTCAATCGCATGTGATCACAATCAAAATTAAGGCCAGGGCGGTAGTAGAAAGTCTCCTTGCAACAGCAGTATCCCCAACTGTGTGGATGTCTCTCACGTTGCAAAATGCAAAGTTGGACCCTTGGACGCTAAGAAACTATCGCGTCACTATGCGTCACTACCCAAATCCAAAATTCATCTCTATCAGAATCTGTTTTGATGTCTGATGATCGCTGCTTTGGGCTTCACATAGCTGCGACGCAGTGTTGGGGAGATTCTGCAGAGTCGTGACGGATGTCGTGACGTGCTCTGCCAAGTCTCGATGAGTCGCACGATGTGTCTCTTGTTGGCTTTGTCTGCGTTGTTCAGCGTCTGGAGGATTTCCACTTCTTTCCTTAGACAGAGCCAGGCTCAATCCAGCTGTTTCACCATGAATTTCACGATGTCAAACTGCACAAACACATGTTTATCATATTTCACAAAGGTGGAACTCGCACAGCGCACAGCTGCGCACAGCTGCGCACAGCTGCGCACATGTTTCTTTGCTCCATCGGAGTTGGGGGCTCTGCTCTGCAGCTTTTTTCATCATATCGTTGGAGCGAATGATCTTCAACGCCTGGGCTGTCACTGGGAACTTCGGAACCCGACAAGACACGTTGCAGCTTAGGCACCACCAAAGGTTCACCCTCTGTCTTGGTATCCTTGGCTTTCACCACCTCAGCGCTCATGGAATCCCATGGGCCATGGCTATGGTGATTCATTGTGATTCATTGTGATTCATCGTGCGCTGTGGAAGTGAAAAACTCCCGACTGCTGCGGAACAAAGAATACCAAAATATACCAAAATCACGTCCTCCCTTTTCAAGAAGCAGAGTTCTGATGCAGAATTTGTCTCCAACCCATGCTTCGAAACAATTCCCGACTAATGAAATGCTTCAAATGTCAGCTGAAATGTGCAGGAAACCCAGAAGGGAATCTATCTCATTTTCCCTCGGCGATGACCCCACGGGAAATCATGGCAAATCAAAAATGATCAAAATGATCAACATGATCACGAGACAATACGCACGTGCGCAGAAAATGCCGTCGACGCTTTTTTCATGTCTCGTGTTTGCCACGCCGGCGCTGAAGAGTTCGCCGCCTAGGGCGCCAATTTGTGCCATATGGGCGCCGTGGTCGTTTCAAGTTCTCTTTTGGTCATCTTTTGATATCTTTTGGACATCTTTTGGACATTCTGTATGCCCATCTTATGTCATCTTATGTCGTCTTACATCATCTTACGTCATCTTACGTCTTTTTGCTTCAAACAATGGTCCTGTTGACTTGGTGTGTCCTTTGCCGTCCCTCTATTTGTCGTCGCAGCATTTCACTGATTTCACATCTGTTTGGTTTTAACTTGCCAAGTTGGGGATTGCCACGTTGGTGTGGCTGCAAATGAGTGAAAACCTCAAAAAAATGATGAATCAACCACAAAATTTTACGGATTTTAGAGGTACCCTATCGTCCGCATCTCTGCACCTGGGAGATCTTTCCCAGCGTCTGAAGCGCTTCTGATCCTGCTCCCACTCTGCATCGGTTTCGCCGTGACCGCCATGGCCGCCATGGCCGCCATGGCCATGTGGTCTCAAGGCAGACCAGTAGAGCAACCACCATCTTCCTAGGCAGGTTTCAAACCATTTCAAACCATATGCAGGTTGAAAAAACCGGAGATTCTCGTAATGTTCAAAGAATGCCACTTTAAAAAGAACACATTGTTAAATAAATGATCAATACAGTATGTGTATGTATGTGTCGATGTGATTCAACATGGATGATTGACACTGACAAAACCCGATCAAAACCAAACGCACTGAATCCTGGACATTATGAAACAATGAGCCAGTCTGCTTTATTTTGTTTTGCTCGTGCTCCAACCCAACATCTCGCGAAGCAGCTCTGATTGGCCGCGCGGAAGTGGCCCAAAGTCTGCCAAGCCAAGCGCGTCTGTCGGCGAAACACAGGGTTGTCGACCAAAACAAAGGCTCCCACCATGTTGTCCTGCAGCACTATTGACCCTGTTCAAGTTGAATGAGACAAACAAATGCCCACATGTATTTCAAAAATTGCATAGATTTATATAGTGTTGCAACCAGTTCGCCCCAACCCGGACGTTGCTCCACACGTTCAAGTGTCATGATGATGAAGATGATGATGATGATGATTCATGATGATTCATGATCATCACCACGTTAAAATTCGCCACCCCTATGAACAATATGTTGGTTGGGGTAATAAAATCAACTTTATCTTCATAACGGATCAACATTTGCCACCCCCTCTGAACAATATGTTGGTTGGGGTAAAAACGTCAACTACCAGTATATCCCCATGACGGATCAAAATTCGCCACTCCCTATCTTCATGAGGGATAAAAATTTGTCACCCCTATGAACAATATGTTGGTTGGGGTAATAACATCAACTTTATCTTCATAAGGGATCAACATTTGCCACCCCCTATGAACAATATGTTAGTTGGGGTAATAACATCAATTTTATCTTCATAATGGATCAAAATTTGCCACCGCCTATGACCAATATGTTGATTGGGGTAATAACATCAACTTTATCTTCATGAGGGGGCAAGTGTATTCATATTCATCTAGTATGATGATGATGATGATGATGATGATGATGATGATGGCGACAATAGTGATAATAGCGATAATAGTGATAATAATGATAATAGCGATAATAGTGATAATAGTGATAATAGCGATAATAGTGATAATAGCGACAATAGTGATAATAGTGATAATAGCGATAATAGTGATAATAGTGATAATAGTGATAATAGCGATAATAGTGATAATAGTGATAATAGCGATAATAGTGATAATAGTGATAATAGCGATAATAGTGATAATAGTGACAATAATAATGATGATAATAGTGATAATAGTGATAATAGCGATAATAGTGATACTAGTGATTTAAAAAAAATAATGATGATGATGATGATGATGCAGCTGCTGCAGCTAGTGCAGCTGCTGCAGCGGCTGCTGGTGGTGGCGGTGGTTGTGATGCTCTCTCCCGGCAAACCAGGTTATACAACAATCAATGTAGCCGCAATTGATTAGAATAAACCAGATCCGACGTACTTTTAGCATCTTTTAGCTCCTTCCGCGCAGCGAGAAAATGCCCGAAGTCGCGGTACAGACGTGCCATTCGAGCCGTGCAGCCCAGACGATGCGCCTGGCACGGGGGCCGTGCAACAGGCGGTGCAACAGGCGGTGTCCGGCGCCTCACTGGGCACGCGGGTGACGACCAATGCACCCGACCTCGGGAATCAAAACCACAAAAATAGAACAAGAATATACAAGAATCACCAGAAACCCAAGCTATCTACGAGGCATCTACTTGCAGTGTCACGAATCTACTGATTTACTGCTTAGCACTGCAAGTGTCTGCAAGAATCTGCAAAATGCAAACTTGGATTTGCCTGTGAAAGTTTCCATAAAGACATTACACGGTCGAGCATGGCCTTGAAGGACAAAGCACTAGATCTTCGCAAAACTCTCCACGCTTTTCGATAGACTCCGATAGACACAGCTGAGTCACAGGAATGGAGCGAGATCTTCAAATGTCGCTGCATTCAAAGACACTTCGCAAGGCAAATTGATGCCCAGCTCGGTGCCATCCGCCGTTGAGAAACAAAACATCTCCGAAATCTCTGACTCCTGCGGCTGAAATAGGCGGAACGTTAGACACGAATTGAAAAGGTTTTGAAAATTGTGTTTTCTCGAGTTTGCTCACTATTTTTACGGTCTTTTTCTAAGTTTGCTCATGATTTTCTCCAATCGTTTCCGTTTCGGGTGCGTTCCCATACATTTCTCATCCTGATGCTATTACCAACGTAACATATCATCATCGTGCAATGTGATGATTCACACAAAGCCTGTCCCAACATATTTGCCAAAATTATCCAAGACGCATTCAATGCGGTTTGCTTCTCTCCACGCAATGGTTTTCTTTTGCCGCGCGCTTTGGTCGGCTTTGACGCATGGCCCAACTTGACAGGTGTTGCCTGGCATTGGAAGAAAACTTTGAGAAATATCAACTTGGAAATCTTCCTCGGGTAACAATCGGCATGACATGTATCATTTCCAAGGCGTCTGTGGAACACCGTAGATACACCAAGAAGTCACAACCAATGGAATATCAAATGAGAAGCGCTGAGGTTGGAATGGTGCTCACAACAGCACACGCGGTGACATCAGCTGACGGAGAGACCAGCAACTTGAGCGCACGAACGTGCATTCCTGACGAAATCCGTTTTGTGTTTGAAGGCCTATGGCAAAATGCCACATCTGTACTTGCATGGCAGGTTTCATCCTGAACAGGACACTTTCCGCATATCTTGCATACCTCGGCAAACTCCTATCACAAATATATATATATATATATGTATTCTCTCTATCGCTATGTGTATATATACATACGTTACATACCTACATACATACACACACACTAGACAAGAATGGATCATTATATGATCCGGCAGGAACTGAATCCTGAAACGTGCAGATGAGATACGAAACAATGAAATTAACGAAGCATCCTACGAATAATAGAAGTTCTCCTGAATGGTTTCCATGTCCAAATTCGTCATCAACAAATATAGATCGGCGACGTGGTTTTGACAAAGTAATCCAAATGCATCGGCGACATGGTTTCGGCGAAATAATCCAAAAAACCAGTGGTAGTGTCGGCGACAAGGTTTCGGCGAAAAACTGAGGAAGGTTCTGATGCATGTAAATGTCAAAATTGTTTCCAGATTGCGTCAACAGTGCAGCAAATTGTATAACATTGTTGTTGGGGTTCTAAGCTTAGCTTGGCCCCTTGCTATGTCCGAAAAAAGCAGGTACAAGTGGTTGATCAGACCACTCATCCACCGAAATGCCATAGCTTCGTTGGACTGGATAGGCAAATCGGCTCCAGTCCCCCTGCAAATGTAAAAAGATTAGAGCAAAAGAAGTTTTACATCTGTTCAGATGTTACACACACACACCCCGCATGTAGCGGGGTTTGATTATTTTGGAAGAACATCGCGGCTGAGGTCGGCAGAACCAATCAAATCCAATGAGGCTACACGATGCTAGTGTACAGAGCCGCGGTCATTTCACTCAGAAGGGAAATTCGCTTCGAGTTGAAGTATTTGAATCGCGTCACGGAAGCTCATGCCTTCAACCATCCTCCATGTGTCATTGATTTCTCCAGATGCCAGAGCTGCCGTCAAAGTAGCTGAAAGTTGTTTGGCCAGCTCCTGGATCTTCGTAGTTAAGCGGGTTGCCTCCGTAGGAGGCGTGGTCTCAATGGGAACATTGTGAAAAGGATGGTGCCCGTGTACTAGAGGAATCTCAAAGTGATGGCGCCAATAATCCGCAGTGCGCAGGGACCACTCCCAATTGCCTGAAAGACCATAAAAGTAGTGCTGGGGATCACGGCATTTGGAGAGCCCTGACATGGGGATCTCTTCAATGAATAACTCCCTGGTATTGTTGGAGTGGGTAATGATCTTGAAGTGGATCTGGTGGACCACGCGTGATGAGAAGTGAGCACGATGGAAGAAAATGTAGGTAGGATTCGGCTCAGTAGGGAAAGGAACATCAGGAAGTGCAGGGCCTGAGTATGTATCGGTGTGGGCCGTGGTGCCGATGTCGTTGGTTGTAGTGTCAGCGACCAAAGGTGCCGAGGTGGTCGAGGTCGTAGGGCCAGGGGCAACAGAGTGACATAGTTCAGAAGCCTGGCCGCCTGACTCTGATTCAGGGGCTGTGGAAGCGAGTCCACGGTTGGGATTCGAAGGCCAACCCAAGCCAGCCATAGTGGCGTCACGTTTATGCTCCATGGGTGAGACGGTCACAAAATGCGTTAAATGTCAAAACCGAAAGCTGAGGAATCAGGAATATATATAAATAGGCCAAGCCAGAGAATAATAATAGTAGTATCCGATGGTCGATTCCATTGTCCCTAATCCACGGAAGGAGCCATGCACGGAGCCTACAGTGGTGAGAATGAATCGAAAGGTGAAATTCCAAAGAAGCCGCCGCGTCAATAAAATCTCATGAATAAAAGGAGAAAGAACCAGTCGTGCATTTTCCTGTTCACCGGCGAAGCACATCAGGGTAGGATAACTCCAGGGCTAACCTTATGGCATCTCAGACGTAACACGAAAGGCTGTGAGGTACCTGGTACGAGCAAGGTGGATTCGATGTAGTTGTACTGCCGGATTCGCCAATCAGGACGGTACTCTTCCAAAAGCTGCATGACGGTCCAATCATTGGGAACTTGGAAGGCATCACCTTCCAGATCGCAATAGCGAAACTCCAAATTCGAAGGTTCAAAATGGATGTCCCATTGGGTCCTCAACCTTGTTGTGATGGCAGCACGTAAATCTCGAATGGGAAGAATACCGTGACCAGGTAAAAAGAGCTTCAAGTTCACCTGCACTAACATTCTGGAAATTTGAGTTGGCAAGAGCCATGTAAAGATCACGGTCAGGTTCACTGCGGTGTGTCAATCCCTGTAAAGGAGAGTAGTCCACTAAAATCAGAACAGGTCTGTATGGAGGAGGATCCACATCACCAGGAAGGCCTCGGTGTACGGCAAGCCATGCAGCAGTTCGGGGACCTTGTGGTGTATCAACCCTGGATGTAGCGCGATATGGATGAGGGCGAGAAGAGTGAGCCATGGCGTCGAGGATCAAGCGTGAAGCCCGGGCTGCAACAAAAGAATACTATAGTCATCGAAAAATAAAGTCACGAGCAAAACATGGAAGACGACGGTGTACACATCATGAATGGTCACGAATCGACGTTTAGTCACTGTTCTTTTTTCTTCCGCAAAATCATGTGGTATGTTACACACTGGAGTCAGACAGATCCATCGGGCCAGGTTCGTTCGCATCCAGTGGACAATGTGTGTGGTGAGCAGGTGCGGCAGGGTGATTGGAATGTAAGGTCCGGTGAAGTGTTGCCGATGGTGAAGAAGGTGGTGTAGATCTCCATGGTGGCCAAGATAGAGAAGTAGTGGTACCTTGTGAATGGTGTTGAGCCGAACGTCCCCAGCATGATTGTAAGATGTGAAGCTGGTCCGGGATCGCTTCGTACGGTTGAGAAACGTAGACATTGGCATGTTCGGGATGTGGGAGAACAGGAACGGAAGTTGCCGTAGAGGAGGAGGATGATTGGATGGGTACATCATAGTACTGGCGCCAATGGTTAGCCGTAGTGCGTAAGGTGGCACGATCACTGGTAAGGCGCACGTTTCCCAAAAATGTTTCCACTGGTTTCCACGTTTCAATACCATCTAGTGTCCTTTCTACGATCCAAAGTTCATCAGGACGAGAAGACAAAGGGTAGCTCAGCTTCTGAATAAATATGGAATGAACAGTTGTAGAGGTTGGAATCATTCTGGCTGCCCTGGGAATATACGATGCCGAAGTAGGATCATCAGGTGGAAGATGTGGATCTGGGCCCTGTACTGATGTAGGTGAGGGGCGGGTTGAAACCAGCCGAAGAGCATCATCCGAGGCGGAGGCCGTCATGTAAAGAAGCAGTAATATGATATCGAAAGGAACTGAACTGAAGCCAAAATTCCGTTGAAAGAAGTCCATATTGAAATTAACAGCAACGAGAAGCACAATCTGGGAAAACATGAGATCAAAAGGACACAAAAACGGAATGGTCAATAAGAAGGCGGAAGATTTCACGTTCAGTGCTTTTTTTCTTTTTTCCATAGAAGTGAGCGAATCAAGGTTGTATATCCAAAGGCTTGCCACGCGGCAGTCTTAGTGTATCGGGTGGCCGTGACGAATGGATGCCCTCGAGGAATCACTTGAAGGTGGACAGCGAAGCCCGTGTCTTGTTGATCTGGATGGGGTGTCAGCAGCAACGGTGAACACTCACGGGACGTGAAGGCATCTAGGTGTTGATGAGTTTTCCATGACGGGTAGAACCAGTTCAAAATGTCCAGGAGAGAATGAGGGAGGTCATCAAGCATCTGAGCTCCTTGATCGGTGTCGATCATCATGTAGAAGTCCGTCGCCTGTAGGTGTATCGACCATCTTTGTAGAAGCGTGTCCGTCACCACTGTTTTCAGGCCTGAAACGAAATGACTGCGAGCGTAGTCAGGGTAGATCACCTTGAAAGTCTGAAACAGGCTGTCATACGCTTCAGTGGAGAGGTTGCCCGCGACCTTGGGGGCCAGGATGTTGTAATATGGGTTTCTGGCGGCCAACTGCTGCATAGGTTTCAGGTCCAATTGGAAAATAACCGGTCGATGGGGCGTAGAAGGCGGAGGTGTCCGGCCAGGTGGGCGCTGAAAAGGCGAAGAACCCATAGCGGAAATTGGTGCCCTGGTTGGAGAGCGTGATCGTCGGGTAGGAGAGATACTGTCGTGGGCCATAGCTCGTTGCTGGCAATATCGGTCCAGGTGAGTGCGGAGAGACATAGTAAACGGCTAACGGTGTGTATAGTGTGGGGGTTCAAGGTTGAAGCCGAGCCACAATACCAAAAAGGTTAAGATTGTGAAAATTGTAGTTCGAGGTAAAGCAGTACCTTGACGTCAAGAAGAATAAATACACAGGAGGTTGGGTGTTGAAATTGTTACACGGTGCCGCGGGACATCTCTTTTCTTTCTTGCACGTCGCCGATGGTCAGCCAAGTCTGTCTTTGATCTTATTCCACATAGAGCGAACGTCTTCCTCCGATTTGCCCATCTTGGTCGAGATCACCCGCCAGGAAAATCGAGACTTCTCGTCCGCCTTCAACGTACGAAGTTTCTGTTTGTCTTCAAAGGTCCAAATTGACAATGGGCTCGAGGAGCGGGATCTTGATTTGTCGGGTCGGCGACGACGTTTTGCAGGTACTTTGGGAGCGGCTTTGGCTTTCTGTTTGCGATTCGGAGGTGTTGGTGTGGTGGTAGAAAGCTTCGAGGGTGCTGGAAGGACTTCAGGTGACGGGGCCGCAACGTGGTGATGTGGTTCAGGAAGGTCGGTTTCCAAAAGCTCATCCATAAGTGCCTCTT